GCATAGCAGATTTAAAAGATTTAATCTCTAATGGATAAAATATTAGGCCAAGGAATAGCACTTCAAAATTCTGAGCAAATATCTACACTCCAGTTTATGGAAAGAACATCTTAGGTCATAATCTTATTTTTTCTTCTAGTTTTTCTCCTTAGAAAAGAACATATTTGAAATATGAAATATTTCATAAAAGAAATAATTGAAATAAAATTAAATTGGCAGGGAGTTGCTTGACATAGTGTTTTCTAAATGTTATTTATTATATTTATTTGTGTGTATGTGTGTGCGTGTGAATGTGCCTTTGCATGTGTGTTCATGTTCCTGATATGGTGCATGAATTTGAGTTCAGACAAAAAGTTGTAAGACTTTGTTCTTTCCATCTACCATGTGAGGCTGAGGATCACATTCAAGCCATCAGGTGAACTGGCAAGAGCCCTTTCTCACTGGAGGATCACTTTAACTTCAACAGGATAGTGTTTTGAAACTGATATTCTAAAAATAGAAATATACTTCATACAAATATGTATGCATATGAATTCATGTTATAATGGATTTAATCTAACATACCATTATGTTGTACTGACAAATCAGTAAAAGGAAATAAGAAGTGACTCAAAAGTAGGAAAAGGTACTGTGCAAGAGATGAGCCAAAGCCTGGAAATGTTGAGTTAATAGCAAGTAGGAGAGAATGATAAAAGGCCTGTACTTCAAAGAGGAAACAAAAAAAAAAAAGGCATATAGTATTGAAGATGTTGATCAAGCAGGTCATAGTTCTTCCAAAATAAGACATCAGTTACAGACCATTTTTAGTTTAAAGATATTGTTCTTCAAATATTCTAAACTTATTTGATCTCTATTAGAGAAGAAATCAAAAGAAAATGCTTCCTATCTATAAGGTTTATATAATTTCTTGCCAGAATTCAGAATTAAATAGAAAATATTCCTGAGAGGAACACTATCTACTAACATTACATTGTTTTTAAAATTAAATGTGAAAATCACAATCAAGATGATGACAAAATAAGTTATAAAATATCTAAAAATTTGAGTGCATCCTGTTAATAATAGATTTTTATTATACATGAGAGAAATTTTTTAGTGTACTCTATCATTTTTTGAATAGATTATCAAATTGTTTAATGACCATATCAGAGGGTATGCTAAAGTTCATTATTCTTTCAGAGAACATTTCTCAGCAACAGGGAAATAGGAGGAACTTTTCAACTCATTTATAAAAACAAGTAACATTGCTTTTTATTTTATTTCATTAAATATTTTTGAAGGTCACAGCTAAATAATAATTAAAAACTAAAGTAAAATTTAGAATAGCAAGAGACGATATAATAAAATATCCATTTGATCATAATATAATATTGAGGAAAAATAAAAAATGAAGGAATATTTCATAACTAATAAGCTCTTTTAGAACTTGGGTGCTAGAGAAATTAATTAGTATTACTTTGTGTTAGCAATTATTAAGATTAGTAGATTAAGCTTATACACCTTCACAGTCACCAAAAATTTGTTAATAATCATATTCCATTCAAGTGGCTTTAAAAAAAATACCTTAGATTGGGCAATTTATAAACAATAGAAATTTATTTTTCAAGGTTTTAGACCTGAGAAATCTAAGATATAGGTGTCTACAAGTTTTGGAATGGACCTCTCTTCTCACAGAAGTTTTATTCCAGCTCTGTATTATACACTTTTGAAAAGGTAGGAGCTTTCTTCTGCCCTCTTTTATTGGGGGTGCTAATTGCATTGTTGAGTAGTTTCTCTGTATGATCTAAGCACTCTTGGTTAAACTCCCACCTTATCATTTTGGGCCTTAGTATTTCAGAGTATATATTAGAGGGGACTGTTGTGTGTATGTGTTTTTCCAGCTCCACACTCATGGAATAATGATTCATGAGACTCAAGATATATTTACAAATAAGTAGGCAGTATAGCTAGGTTCTTCTCTGACTAGCTTATAATTTAAAATAACCCACTTATACTGATCTATATTCTGCCATGTGGTTGTTTACCTCTGCTCAGGTACCGTGAAACTGTCTACCTTATATCTTGCTGTACAACTATCCCATGCCTAGCTCTATCACTGAATCTTTTCTGCCTGGTGGATGCCACACTTTTATTCTACACTTTCCTATAGACCATATTGTTTTTTTTTCTTTTTTTTTGTTAATTGACAGATGTTGCATTCATACAATACACAAGGCATTCTTTCTACAGGAGACTGAGTTGCACATTCAAAACTCAGCAGTAATATTAAAAACTAATATCATTATATATGAGCATGGTATGCCCTCTCAAGCAGACCTTTAGTCTCTATGTAATGCCAACCACAACATAGACATTGGAATTACAGGCTTAGTTCAATGCTAATATTTTTTTTGAGTTTTTTTCCTCTATATTATTAAACTTATGAGAGAAGAGATTGAAAGTAGATGTTAATTTTGGTTAAACATTTCAGACAACATAATCTGTTATTTTATGGAAGGCATGGTGACAGGAGGAGCTCATTCAGTGGTAGGGAGTTTTAAGCCTGGTTTATTAACATCATTGCTCAATAAAGAAGCAGAAAGCTATACTGCAAACAAGGTAGGATGATCCCCTTCAAGGATCACCAACAGTGTTGTATGTCATCTAACTGGGAACCAAACTCCTGAAGTCTTAGTTTCCTGCACCTCTAAGAAACAAATACTCAAATACATGAGCCAGCCAGGGGAATCTTAAACATAAGCTTAACCATTCATTGTGTATGTGTCTGAGGAGACCAGTTAAGATGCTCTTTCTTGTAGAGGAAGAAGCAGGGAATTCTGCTAGCTGTGCGGTGAGATGTCCTGAAGTAGTAACGGAAAAGACACCATTGTGAAGCTGGGTCCAGATGGCAAGCAGAAAGTTTCTGATGGCTCAGATAGTTTCAGCACTCAGGAGGCCGAGACAGATAATCTCTAGGAACTGGGTGTTTAGTGACATCAGAGAGCTCACTGTTCAGCAATAGAGATAGATAAAAGTCAACAAAACTCAAAAAAGTAAAACTGATATTACCTAAGGCAGACATCTCAAAGCCTAGTCTGGCTTAAACACAAACAAACACACACACACACACACACACACACACACACACACACACACACACCTTTACTTTCTTAAATATCTGTGCCCAGAAACATACACACAGGCATCCACACAAATACACACAACTGACACATAAAAAAGAATACATGTGAAAGAGCTTCAAAATAGCTGATTATGTTTTCTTTTATGCAGGTTAGCCTCCAGTTTATGCCAGAGACCTACCTGTAGTTTCTAGTAATGTTTCATGGATTGCTGTGTAGGCTTCTTGCACTATTTCACAGTTGTTTAAAACAGGTCTATATAAGTATATATATGATCAAAGCAATGTAATGAGCAAGAAAAATGTTCATAGAAACACTAAGGGAAATGATAAAAAAAACATGGATTTTTTTTTAATTTCGGTCACAAAAGGAAAAATATAGATTAAATTACTTCATTAAATTGTTATGTCTGCTCTGTGCATAGATAACTTGACATTTTATCTCCAAGATTTCAAAGCTAAACAGTTGCATTGGAGAATTTTGAAAAAAAAACAAAACAAAACAAAACAAAAAAAACAATAAAGAAACTGCAAAACATACTGAAAACGTGTGGTACATTTACACATTGGAACACTACTTAGCAATTAAAAACAAGGAAATTATGAAATTTGCAGGCAAATGGTGGGAAATAGAAAAGATCATCCTGGGTGAGGTAACCCAGAAACAGAAAGACAAACATGGTATGTACTCACTTATAAGTGGATGTTAGCCATGTAATATAGGATAAACATACTAAAATCTATAGTCCTAAAGAAGCTAAACAACAAAAAGGAACCTAGGGAAGAAGCTGAAACCTCACTCAGAAGGGAAAACAGGATAGACATCAAAAAGAGGAAAAGGCAAGTAACAGGACAGGAGCCTTCCACAGGGTACCTTTGAAAAACTCTATCCACCAGGGTATCAAAGGAGATACTGAAACTCATAGCCAAACTTTGGGCAGAGTATAGAAAACCCTATGGAAGAAGAGGGAGATAGAAAGACAAAGAGGGGAGAGGAACTCAACAAGGAGACCAACCGACCCAAAATTCCTGGGTCCAAGGGGGGCTAAAGAGACCAATACTTCAACCAAGGACCATGCATGGAGAGGATCTAGACCACCTGTTCAAAGGAAGCTCATTGGCTGTTCAGTTTCAAGTGGGTTGTCTAGAAATGGGATCAGGGGCTGTCTCTGACATGAACTCATTGGCTGGCTCTTTGACCACATCCCTTCTGAGGAGTGCAACCTTGACAGGCCACAGAGGAACATGATGCAGCATGCCTTGATGAGACCTGGTAGGCTAGGGTCAGATAGAATGGGAGGAGGTTCTCCCCTATCAGGGGTCTAGGAAAGGGCAAAGCTGGAGAAGAGGGAGAGTGGGTGAGATGAGAAGGAGATGAGGGAGGGGGCTACATCAGAGATACAAAGTGAATAATTTGAGATGTTAGTTAGTTAGTTAGTTAGTTAGTTAGTTAGTTAGTTAGTTAGTT